TTTACCTTCAAATAAGGTTTTCTATTCCCCAGCTGCAAAGAAGCTGCTGACCTCCAGTTACATTTTCCAGAGGAAAAGTTTAACTTTTACACTGTTACACTGTGGTCAGCTCTTTTGAGTTATGCTGGTACGTGCACAAGCATCGGGAAAAGCAGGGTAGATGTTATTTGAACTACAAAAACTTGAATTAATCCAAGTGCAATTCTTCAGAAGCCACTGGACAGCTGTGCTTTGCAAACCACAAGCTCACCCACACTTTGCTTCAGCCTGAGAGGGAGAGAGACAAAATGCAAAGGATATAGAGTTCAGATAGGCTCCAGCAGTAACCTCCAGCTCCTGGATGAGTTAGTTCAGAAATAGCCTGTACTGTTCTTGTTGGAAAATATGTGTATGCACAATATATATATATATGTATAAAATATAAGTTGCATCCCTGTCATTGGCCTCTCAGCTTTATTTACCCAGCAGAGTAGGTGTGTGCCCTGGACACCTGCCATCACACACACTAATCCCAGCATGCAAGAGGACCTGGAGAAAAGGGATGCTATTTTTACACCCTCTTTTAGGTAAAGCCCATGAGTAGCTTAGCTGACCCCATTGGACCCAACATGGCCTTGTCTGGGGACGGAAGGAGAGGTGGGATTGGGAGCCATGAGTATCCTGCCCTTCCACCCTCCCCAGCCAAAGCCCTGGTGCTAAAGGGGTTTGGGGTAGGTTTATTTTTGGGAGTTGGAGCTGAGCAGGTGAAGGCAGCAGGATATTTTTTTTCTCTTAACGGGTCAGAAATGCATCTTCAGCTGTGTGTCCAGTTTAAGCATTTCACAAGGTGTGTACAAGCACAGGGTTATATATATGGGCAGTATTGTAAAAAAATGAATCAGCTGGTTAGTATCTGTTGTATATACATTTTTGTGTGTGATTATAATGGCATTCATATTGGAATAGATGAATTTCGAACAAAATAACCATTCTGTCTACTCCTTTTCATTTTACTGCTCTTTACCATCAGTGTGCACCCCCTGTAGAAGGAAGAGAGATCTGTGTGCAGGACGTGAAATCGTGCCTTCAACATAGATTAGGACTGTTGGAAGTCGCAGCTTTCTTTCACGAGGTGCACAATTTCCCCAGCTCATGCAGAGTCCCCCCGGTGAGACATGCAGGCCATGTTTCTAAATACTTGAAGTACCATTTGTTGTGCAATTATTTGGCTTCACCCTTTTATTAGCTGAGAGGAGAGAGGGAAGAAGAACCACACATCTGGATGAGCCAAACAAATCCCTGCTCCAGCTCCTGCAGTGTTTTCCTAGAAGGTTTTAGGCTCTGGTTTTGTTCCAGGTATGTGATGTACCTCCTAGAGTAGCCTTTCTTAAGGTGTTACATTGGTATGGGCTTTCCATTTAGTGCTTTCCTTTGGCTTCCTTAGCCCTTCCCTTATATGTCCCTTTTCATCATTCACTTATAAAACAAGCAACAGCTTCTTGTAATTCTGAATTTCCAGTTTGCCTCCCGGCCATGGAGTTAATGATTCATCCAGAGATACCTCACTCCCATGCCCAAGAGATGAACTGGTTTTCAGAATTCCCACATTACACCTGTTGACGGAACAGTGACTTTTGCAGGGAACACACCTGGTATTCGATGCACAATCTTTGCTCGTTTTGATCATCAAAATAGGAGAACTGGACTGTAAATCAGAGCTCTACCTGCAAGCACGAGTACACTTTTGGTGTTACAAAAATCTGTTTTCAACAAAAGCCTTGAAGTTCCTGCTGAAGCTGCCTTAATTTAAAAATCACAGTTTATTTGTAGGATTCATCTCTGGTTGTTTTTTTTTTTACAGTTTGGAAAAGCTGTGAAGTAGATACTGTAGACATGGTAATATTTATTCTTGTTGCTGAAAGCATGTTTTGTATCATGTTATATTCACGTGTTTTGTACCTCAATGCGTTTGTTTGGGTTTTTTTCTTTTAGAGCACAAAGCAAAACTGAATCCCAGGATAATTGTAGTGTGCGTGGCCCAGCTTTTGGGCAAACAAACTTCAGCTCTATGACAGAGATGAACCGTATTAGTCCACTGTAATTTTTTTATTCATACTCTAAGGAGTATTTATGATTTATAATATTATGTATTTATGAATATTTTTGTTAAAATAATGAACTTTTAAAAGCTCTGAGTATAAGCATCCCTTCAAACATATCATTAACATGAAACTCAGAAAAAAACCCCTTGAGCTCTATAATTACTCCATCCTTCTTGGTATTTTCTATTTTGTCAACTCAGAGACTGGAGAAGGTTTTGTTTTCAGATTCATGGCTTTAGTACTTTCTGGGGGTAGCTGTTGTGGAAGGGCCCAGAGCCTAGGTTCAGTTTTGTCCTTTGTGCATTAGATAATCACAACGAAGCCTTTTTCCTTCCATTTATGGTGTGGAAAGTGTTTCTCGGTGTACTGCACTGCATGTGATAGCTGTCTCCATGGTTGACATTTGCACTTTAATAAACTCAGAGATGAAAAGAGATAAAAGCAGCAAATCCTTAAAATTTGCTTATTTCACAGTGCTTTTTTGTGGACTGGAGTTGGCTGTTAAGAGTTTCTCTCTGGAGATGCTTGCACATCCCAACTGTGGGATCATGGATGCCCTGAAGGCTTGGGGGGTGGTGCAGAGCAGGAAGGGGAATTAAAATATATACATGAACAACTTAAACAGCTTCCACAACCCAAAATACATGCCACGAGCCAGGCCTGAAGGTTTTCTGTATTAACATGCATCCAGCAGAGCTGATGGGCCTGTGCTGACTCAGATCTCGACTCCTTACACCAAAGCATGGAGAGTATAATTTTAAAGATAGTGTGCAAAAATAACCTTTCACTACAGGAAAGGTGTTGGGGGGGGGGAAATTAGGGGCTTATTTCCTATATGCCTGTGATGCAGCTGGATATAAATCCAGTGAAAGCACACAGCTGCAGTGAATGCCCCAGTTTTGTCCTTATCCACGCTCTCCTTTTTACACAATTTCTGTGATACAGAATTGCCCTCTAAAAAATTTCAGTTCTCCCTCAGACTCAGCAAATCAACAACTGTTATCATGATGATTTCCTTTTTGAGAGGAAACACAGAGGAACAGGGTTTAAAACTCACATGAGAATTATTTTAATGTTTTATGTGGTTAGGATGTACCAGCAAGGGCTGTAAAGGAAAAAAAAGGAAAAGGACACGTTTAATTTCCTGACCAATATCTTAACCTAAATTTAGCCAACCTGTAGTTTAATTGAGGATATCTAAGTTGCTCTATCTAAAGAATTTTTGTATTGTCTGGAGTCATCCCATAGAAAGCTCTTTTCTTCTGTACATGCATTGGAATTTATCCATGGGGAAATATATTTCTAAGTGTATTGCCAGGCACCTTTGCATTAAATCAGCTGCCAATGCTGGTGCAGAAGTTTGTGTTTCACGGGGATTTGGGGCACAACCCCACAAGGACTGTGCGTCATTGCACCGGGATCAGGGCCCAATCACGTCTATCACAGGATATATGGAGAGATTTTTTTTTTTAAAAGCCTTAATTTAAAATGAGAAAAACTTGTTAAATAACTTCCTTATGAAGCACAAAAAGAGCTCACATGTGTGGCTAATACAAGATTTGCTCGTAGTACTCACAGAGACGGTGGTTAATGGACTTCATGAGCTGTGAGTTAGCATTGGCTAGGGAGGAGGACAAGGAAGGGGATGTTTTCTTCATGGTATTAATCCTCAACACTGCCATGGAAAAAAGCCCCCAAGCTAAACCATCTCCACAACTTCCATCAGGCCGATTCCCCTCAAAGGCTGTAGGTGAAGGACACAGACCACGTCCTAGCCTGTGCCAAAGCCAAACACGCACTTCAGCTCCCCAAACCCTCCATCACCACTAGAGAAGTCTAAATATTTGGGCTGGCAAGCCTGCAAAGCTGCGCATGCTTACAGGGGATTGTTTTATTTATTTTTTTTTATTTCAAGGATGGATGCAGGCCAACGCACTTAATAATAACCACATGGTAAAATAAATAAGAATGCCTGTATAGACTTAAAAGTAAATGTTAAATATTTGCTCTGTTTTCTTACTGATGTCTCCTTTGCCAGCTTTGAAATGGCCCTGTGGCAAACAGCACTTTTATTTTGCTGTGTTTTCTTAAGCCTGGAACTTTTAATAATTTCTAATTAAAACTTCTACATTTTTAGGATATTTATGAGCAAGCTGATACAGGCTCTTAAAATGAGCCAGGGAGGGGCAAAAGCTGTACACTACAATCAGATTTAAGGGTTTTTCTTCTTCCCAAGCTATGTAAAAATCCTACCCCCATTTTTTTACTTTTCACAGAAAATTTCACAGAATATTCTGGAAAACATGTCCACTGGATACACTAAGGAGAAGCCATTAGAAATTTATATTTCTCTTCCTACATTTAGAAGCGTTTTTCTTAAAATAAGCAATCATCCTCCAGGCCCACAGTGGAGAACAGCCCAAACACAGGGGCAACTGTTGGATAACTGCTTGTGAGTTAGTGGGAGCCAGGAGTCAACCTTTACATATCTGGGATGCCTAAGTTAGCTTACAAAAATAAAGTAAATTTTGACTGAATGCTTTATTTACTCTTTTTTCATGTTTTTTTGGAAAGAAATGAGTCAACTTTTCCACTATTTGATATATTTAACACAGCAGGAGTGGTGATACATCCTCCTTCTCCCAATAGTTTTAAGACCAAAAACAGTTCAAAATTATATGGTTTGCTTTTTAAAATCTTTTGGGGAGTTTTGTAATTCTACCACCTAAAACAGACAGTAACAAGTTGGAGCAACTAATGTGCACAGTTTTTCTTCATGCAAATGCAGAAATGAAATGGCTATTTCAGAACTGACCAACAAGGTACTCCAAAAAGTGAGAAATACTGAAAATAACTAATAATCGATGCAGACATGCTCTAAATGTCAGGGGGAAAAAAAAAGGAAACATCTCTTGCACATTTAACAGTACAAAAAATAATTCAGCTTTATTTACATGGGCATCATCACTCCACAGTTGACCAACGTGGGCTCTCCTGGATGCAGGAAGCACAATGGAGACTTTCAGGAATGATCCAGGGGAGAGCAGCTCTCAGGGAAGTTAGTACTGTCTGCCTCAAAAAAAAAAAAAAAAAAAAAAAAAAAAAAAAGAACATTTTCCAGCAAGGTTCATTTGTATCAATTATGCATGAGCATGCAAGGAAACACTGCAGCAGGGAATTTGAGGGTGTGTTTTGGCAAAGCAATGCACACTGAGTGGCCCATGTTTGCAGCAGATGTGAATTAATATGGCATATCTGAAGGCAAGTCAGGAATCTCCAATTTATAGAAGTCATGACTGGACGGGCCTTTTTTTAGCTGCAGTTGGACTGGAAACTTGTGTAACGGCAGACTAAAACCGGAAATAAGTATTTAATATTTAATATTTAATCCTGGCTGTTTACATTAACTTCCCCTACCTTCAGAAGTTTTAAGTACATTTCTCCAGATCTTAGATATCTCTACGCAGAAAAGAGAAGAAAATATGCATTGCAATAAATAAAATGTGAGTTTACCTGAAGTTCAAGTGCTCCACTAGAACGTACCCATCTGAGAGAAGGGGGGAAAAAAGGAAGTAAATTAGTAAATTCCTGAGCAAATGAAGTCTCAGTGCCTAAGCACAAAGAACATACTGTGGCTTGGGAGGCTGATTTGCCCCTCCAAACTGGTTTGCAGTGTCCCCCTTTCCTGTGCCAGAGACTTTCTTCAGACTTACATCTGCCCTCTGAATTTCGGCAGATCACTGCGTGGCCCTCCGTGACATCAATGACATCCAGCTGTTCTCCAGCTGTGACAGGGAGATCCACTCTCCTCTCACTGGGGACCGAGCACTCAGCAATGGCTGTGTTGATGACACTGATCTCCTTATCATACTGCAGGAAAGAAATAAAACAAGTTATTCCACACTTATGTGCAATGTCTGTAAGGGCAGTGGGGAGGGATGAAGAGAAGAGATTTCAGGATGGGTTGTGAGGCTTTGGTTAGGGATGAAGAGGGAGAAAAACCCCAGTAACATCCCTGATGAAGATCCCAGATTAGGGGAGAAGGAACAGGTCAGTTAGGCATCTCTGGCAGAATAGCTGAGGACCAACAACGTTCCCCTGTGCATCTTTTAAACAAGCCACATAGCTGTTTTCCTCCTCTGACACAACCAGTTCTCTAGAAAGACACGTACCACAAATGTTTCTCTAAAGAACTTCTCTTCTTTTTCTCTCTTCCTGCTTTTTTCTTCACTGCTCTTCTTGAATTTGAAGATATTTCTGCATCAAGAGACACACACACACACGCACTCGTGAGCTCCTTTTAAATAATCCCTGGCACATTTGGAATTGCAGCTCAAAGCCTAACTCCAGCCTTGTCAGCAATGAACCCTTGGAATAGGAAAGCACACCATTCACATCCTTATTTTTCATAAAAGAATGAATATACAATTCAAATATGTTAGTGAGCATAACTTGGGCCCTTTTGTATCTCCATTTGCAATAATTTTTTTTTTTCTGTAAGCAGCATGGGAACAAACGAACTCTCTATTGAGTGTTTCAAATCAGTCATGTTTTTATAGAAGTCAACAATTCACTTTTCCCCCAGCAGTTTGTCTCCTGGTTTTATTTATACTCAAAGGGAAAGGGTCCCCAGATAACTCTCATCCTGAGTCATTTATGGAAGTGGGGCTTGACACAGCTCTCCAGATTTCTCTTGGGTTTTTTAGCACATGGAGGAGAAAGTCACCCAAGCAGACATTAATATGGCACTATAAAGTGGAAAACAATTTCTTATGCCCCACTTAATGAGAGCAATGGCCATTCCTTCTGGGGCATTCCCTGAGTATGGAGATGCCACTATTTCTGGTACATGAAATTCTAGCTATAGCATTAATTTTAAAACTTAAGACAGGGAAAAAAACACCAAACAAAACCCCCCCACACCCATTTGTAATAAATTATTCACCTTTGGCTCACTTTGGTGCACTTAAAATTAAGACAAGAGAAACAAGAGCTGAAATTAGGAACTTCTAGGCTGTGAAGAGATTCCTCCTTGGCAGACTCAGCCTGGAAGACCTGTGATGTCTAAGGAAGGGATGAAATTGCATCAACTTCCTGATGATCTGTAAAGTCACAACACAACCAGCAGTGTCTGAGCAACCCCATGCAGGAGCTCTGTGGTAAGAACCTGGAAAATGGATCTTTGATTTGCATTTCTTTGACGTCCCATGTACAGGGTCATAAAAAAGCTCACTGCGATGCACATTTTTCTAATCTCAAAGGCAAAGGAAATCTCCTACTTCCATATGAATTTTTCCAGCACCAATAACAAAAGAAACAAAAAAAAAGTCTTTGCTTTTATGCACAAAGGGTACAGCAAGAGGCAATGCAATCAGCCCAACCAGAAAGAGAAGATCTAAGAAATCAATACTTTAAAATAAGGGCAAGGGGAAACTACAGGCAATTACTACATTGTGTACAGGGCTTTCAAACACAGGGCTCTTGCCAAAATCATAGAATGGTTTGAGTTGCTGCCTTAAAGGTCATCTTGTTCCAACCCCTCTGCCATGGGCAGGGACACCTTCCACTAGATCAGGTTGCTCAGAGCTCCCTCCAATATGGCTTTGAACACTTCTAGGGATGGGTCATTCACAACTTCTCTGGGTGACCTGTGCCAGCGCCTCACCATCCTCACAGGGAAGAATTTCTTCTTAATATCTAATATAAACCTTCTAAAATAGCAAAAAGGAGCCAAATATACAGCAAGTAACAACTTTTTGCCTCAGCTAAGTGAGAAGCCATGACAGAACTTCAGGATAAGACCTCGGGATACGCCCTGTTTGCATACAGCTCAGATCCAAGAGTTTGTTTTACCCTTGAGACATTTTCTGCAAAGTTTCCTAAAAGCTCGGTTCAAAGCAGTCAACATAAAATGTCTGTGCAATCAGGGACATCCCACTCCTGAAATCACTCAGGAGACACATGTACAAAGTTAGACAACATGGGAATACAGAATGGAAATCAAGACCTTTCCACATCGCCGATGCTTTTCCTTTTGTCTTTCACCACTTGAAGTTTTGGCATCCGGATTTTGTACTTGTCATCCTTCTCTCTGAGAGGAAGAGACACATGGGAATTCAATTTTTTTCCAGCAGACTATGTCTTCTTCCCAAACCCATGTACCTACAGAGTAGTGATTTTTTCCTCTCTTCCCCCACACCCACCACTGAAATGCAAACACTTGCTGTGATTTATACCAGCATGCGCGGCCGCCACAATCATCTGGCAGCAAGACACCAAGACATGCTGTTCCTATTAAAAGTAATTTTTCTGACAAGGAGCCTGCCAGGACAAGGCTGATAATCGGGTCTGGGAGCTGGAGTTTTCCTTCCTTAGGAAAACTATCTGAATTTTCATGTGTTTCAGGGAGCAGCTCTTTCCTTTCCACGTCTCTGGCACTAACTAGGTAACGCTGAAGAAACATTTTTCAGGATGCTACTTGCCAAATTAAACACACATGGAGAGGGCACCTGGACTGTCTCCAGAGGACTGAGTCCCAACCAGCTCGTGACCCTCAGTGGTTTGCAGTACCACAGGCTCCTCAGGGAATGGGTTTGTGCCCAGAGGAACATCTCCTTGGTCTGAGGCCAGCGCCAGGAGAGGGCACCCTCCTCACCTGGGCTCTCTCTGCCCCACCTCGATATCGTCATACACCTGGTCCTCCTGGGATACAGATGCTGTCAATCAAAATGCAGGAAAGAAAACTTTTAGAAGATGTCATTCTGAGCCTGGTATTCCAAATGATGTATTTCAGGGGAAAATTGGGGCTGCTGCTAGTCGCTCAACCCAAAGGGGCCAAGGCAGTGCAAAGGCAAGATCCTCGGGTCTCCAAACATCTGGCAAAGCCCCAGTGCAAGGAACAATGCTTGGGTTTGTTAGTTGTGTGTATGGGCAGTTTTCTGGATGGGTTTGGCCGTCCAGCTCCATAGATGGAACAGGAGCAGCAGTAGCCAGCTCAGGCAGGGTTCCCATCCTGTGGTAATGGGTAAGTTCACTCCAGCACCTCCTCAAGGCTTGATTAGTGAGGACAGGTGTTGTGTCCACCCTCATTTATGCAAAGCATGAACTTGTGCCTCCACCAGGCAGAAATAAGTCATTTTACAGAGAGCTGCTGGAGTGATGTCATCTCTTAACCACCAGCAGCCTGAAAGCAGTGGTTCAGCATGGACTGCTTCACACATTATCTTCCTTAATATATTCTCTGCAGGAGAAATGCTCCTCTTCAAAGAAAAACCACCCAAAAATGAGCAAAAACACCACCCTCAAGTGAGGTACAAATCTCTATCAAGTCTTCAGAACTAATGCTGCCACATTACATGATTTTCAAAAAGGCACAATGCATCAAGATTACTGTACAATACACGTTCTTCATACACACAAAAGTAAATCCCCAAGAGTCAGATGCATGTACGTTGCTTACCTAAATTTGGTACCGAAATGGAAACCAATCTGTTGATAGAAAAAGACTTTTAGAAACAAGTCTGCACTTCAGCATCACCCAAAAAGCCAAGAGCCCCCAAAAGCTGTCAGTGCTTGCTGCTGATGGAGACAGGTCTAGCTGCATGAGCTATGTGATATCAACAGCATTTGCCAAAATTACATCCCTTGCTAAATAAGCATTTCCATCCTCTGAAAACATTAAGAGCCATGTGTTCATCAAGCAGGAAAGGTCTACATTGCATCCAAAATACAGTCCAAGCTCTGCTGCCCACCCCTACATCGCTTCCCAGCAGCAAGAGGGTTCATAATTGCCGTCAGTAATAATTCCTTTCTATAAGTCTGCCAATATCATGGGTTGCCCAGGAATTTAAGTGTTACAATGTTTGTAGATATCTAAGGTGCTTTCAGAAACTTTAAGGGTTCTTTGAGACAGGAGGATGGCACAGAACCTGATGGGTCCTTCCCTATAATGATATTTAGTGCTCAAAGGAGCCACTGACATGACAGAGTATCTAGTGTGAAAAGGTTTGTAAGTAAAATAAAATACCCTAACATAAAAGAGGAAAGGTTTAACCTGGAATTTGCAAAGAAATAAGAAAGAGTAGCATTTCAGGCACTGTGCACAGGGTGAGGCCCTCGCTGGCAGCAGTGGAGGATGGGTTCTGCAGGCAGCTACTGCACACTCCAGGAAAAGGCAATTTCCCTGGAATCTTATCCAGGGTTGAATATTAGAGTATCCAAAAGGACACTCTAAGAAGTTATACAATATCCTCTACCCTGTTAGACAAACGTCTCAATAGTAAACTTCAGCAGATGCTGTTGCCAGCTTGGCTCTAAATGGGACTTGGAATAAAAACCCTCAACCCTTAGGAGCCACATCAGCAAGGCTGTACCTAATCCCAGCCCACAGGCTGAAGCAGCAGGAATCACATTTCTACATTCCCTTGTGTACCTGTGTCATGTTGAGGTATCAGAAAGGTACCAAAGGCAGCAGAAAGCCTATGAAAACCTGGAGGCTGCTGTAGGACTAGCTCCTGTAGATTCCTGATGCCAGAGATCTCAGAGAAGCTGCACAGATGGACCATTGGCCACATCTGCCATAGCAGCTCTTAATGAGTTGATAGAAGCACTTTTGGCATAAGCAATAAAGCTGTGTTTCTTACTCTTAGACCTCCTGCTTTCAAATTACTGCAAAGAAGAATGCTCAGGTTTGAAGGGGGAAGGGGTAGGACCACCAACATTTCCTTACCTTAGGTTTTCCTTGAGCCTGAAATTATTCAGCTTCAACTTTTCTATCTTAAACAGGTTTCCAAATCTCTTCTGTTTTTCTGTTCTGTCCAAAAGGGAAACAGATTTTAAATTAAAAGAGGCACTAGGTGCTGAAGTATGTGAGAGCTGCAATACTTGTAGCCCCAGGGATCTTGAAGCGGGGAAAGGAAGGTCAGCAGAATTTGGATCTCAGCTCAGCAGTAAGCTTTAAGTTTTAATAGCTTCATGTGGATAATGGATTCACTGGGATAGGCACCAGCACAGCAAAAGGTGCTTAATTATAAAGTCCAAGCTCAAGTCTTTACTTAGGTTTAAACTTTTCTGCGTTAATTGAAGTTCTTCTCCTCTGACCCAACAACTACAGGGTGATCCAGGTTTATTTGGAGTAAAAATTGTGACAAAAAGGAAGCATTACCCAGAAGCATGCAGGGACAATTAAAGGAGACACCAGGGGCATCTGTCTGTGCCACTCTCCCTCACACATTTCTGTCATGTATGCTCTTGAGAAGGATGTTCCATGACACACTCTCCTCTCTGAAGCTTACGGGGGGTTGCAAAGCTACACAGCAATTTTCTAATAAGGTATCTGGAAGCAACCAAGATCTTCCCATGGGGCACATTACCCGTGCACAAATACTATTAAAATTACTTTATGTGTATCAGCACACATAATCCTGCATGTGGGATCAATAGTAGGATTACATAAAGGCTGGTTTGGGGATTAAGACCCTGACCTCTGAACTCCATGAATTTGGTCCCAAATGGTCTTGAAATTCCTTTGCAAGCCCAGGAAGATGCACTGCTCCTCTGCGAGTTAGGAATAGTTTAATTTCTGCTACTGTTCTGCACCCATGTGCAGAATGGTGAAGGAGAAGCATGGATGCACTTCCCAGCTGGTGGGGGACATGGGTAGTCAGCCTGGGAAGATGTTACCCTCTGGTCAGAGAAGCTTGTGTACCTCCATCACACAACTCCCATGGACAATTTGCAGAGAAATGACACCTCCTTTTATTAACCATCCTGTCACCTCCAGGGTTACAGTTTTCCCCTTTTCCCCCTTTCTGACATCTACACTTTAGCTAGACTTGAATCCAGATGCAAGCCAGTGTGAGCCTCACATCCGTAAGGGAAAAGCAGATGTACAGCAACACCTTATTATTCCTCCCACTCTGCTCCTTAGAAGAGAGCCACCAGATGCAGTCCAAGCAGTAGTGTGCCACATCCCCAGCCCATATGCCTTTCCCAAAGGCTGTCTCTATTTCTTACAAAGGAAACTTTTTACTATGTGAGGGTAGGGAACCACACAAAACACAACTAACTTCATGTTTCACCTCTTAATCCATTTGGGAAGCTCAAGCAACATATAAACCCGAGGCTGCAAAACTCATTGGTTTTATAACACACCCCATGGAAGCAGATATCTTGAGAAGCCATATAAAAAAGAGAAGGTTGCAAGTTAGTTACAGCATGTCAGGCTCTTTTCAGCTTTCCAACCTCCTGTGATCTCAAATTGTCCTGTTTTATGGGGACAATTTGTCCCTTGAGCATTCCCTCTTTTGACACACACAAAAATGTGCCGTTTCTCAGCTACAGCTGAGCAACACTTTTAACCAAAAGAAGGCAAGTGAAACTGTTCTGTGTGTTTGATTCAAGGAGAGGTCTGTAAGGGTAGTACTTCCAATGGATGGGGAGTGCCTTAAGAAAAAAGAAAGCCCTCATTGCTTAGGGATTTAAGTTTGGTAACTACTTTTTGCTCCCGGAGTATCAGCCAAAGGGGAAATAAGGAGGAAGAGGGGGAAGAAATCCATCCGTACAACAACTTTTCTGCAGTTGCATTAAGAAAAAAAAGGCTTCCAGCCGATACCTGGTGTGTGAGATCAAGGATGTATGGCCAGTATTTCAAAATACAGGCTAAGAAATTGCAACTTACTCTGGTTTTGCTGGATTATCACCTCCAATCTCAACATCTTCATATGTTTCCTCGTAGCTGTTTCCTGAAACTTTAAACCAAGGGATGCCATTATGACAAACCACGCTCAGTAGCGGTGAGGTGAGGTGAGGTTTGCTGCACAAATTGCACCCAGACTTTTTATGTTTTACTCTTACAGAGGCTTCAAGGTCAGCTCAAATGAATTCCATGCTAGACATGTATATTACTCCCCCTCCAGTGTTAAAGGGAATTTAGAGCAACCAGGCCAGAATGAGACACTATAGATGTTGAAAGTTAATCTCATTTTCTCCCAGGGACCAGCCCGAATTAAAAGCAGCTCCTGTTTGAGCTTCCCCACATGCTGCACTTACAGCTGTCTGAAGTGAAGGAACTTGAGGCATTTGACCCGTAGCTGCTAGAAGACAGAAGTATGACATGGGGATTTATAGCAGCAGAGTTTTTAAATGACATTTCATAGACACGGGCACTGTGAAGAGCCCAGGTCCATACTCACAGTCCATCTTGCAGTTCTGCGATATCATCGTATATATCCTCTGGTGCCTGCAGAGGCTGCCAAGTGTTTTGGTTCAAAGTTGTTCTTTCTATCCCTGGCTTTGGAGCACCAACATCCATGCTGTGCACTGGAAATAAGAAAGGACTTTTGCTTTAGGAGCTTTTCTGAGGAACTTCTCTCAGGACATGAACTGTTGAGGGTAACACAACTTATTATATTTTCTGTTCCAGGAGGCAAGGAAAGGCTCTGCTCTGACTCACTTTGAGAAGCAAAAGTTAAGGATTTTAAAAGCTTCTGAGTTTTAAAACATTTACCTTTAAAACATTTTAAAGTCATAAAATATTACAGATTTTACAAAAATTAAAATATCCATTGATATTCTCAAATCCTTCTCACCAGAAAGCATCCCAAGAGACTATTCATGGATGTTTGGAGAAATGATTGAAGGGTTTTTTTGGAATGGATCCAAACAATGTACCTGTCCATAGGTATACACCTGTAAATCAACATCCCAGAAAGAAGCCAAGGAGGATGAGTATCCTAGAGATGTATTTCACTGAGGGATGGAATCAAGCATCAGAGTTGCACCTCATGAGGTTAGAAGAAGATTATTACTGGAGAACTCTGTTAAGTGGCAATATTAAATCCTTAAAATTGATTTAAGAGAGCTGGAATAATGTAGAAATGCAGCCAGACAAATAAAAGCAGATAGTGTTTCAAAATGAATACGGGAAGTGTTCACGGCCAGGTTGGAAGGGGCTTGGAGCAACTTGGTCTAGTGGAAGGTGTCCCTGCCCATGGCAGGAAGTTGGAATGAGATGATTCTTAAGGTGCCTTCCAACGCAAACCATTCTATGATTCATGCAGTAGATCTCACTGGAAACACACACCACCTCAATATGGTCTAGTTATGGACCACGACTTCTGCAAAACTTTCAAACCCCATGAAGAAGAAAAGGAGGCAGGAGAGGGACCTAACAATTTTCCTAATCAACCTCTCTGTTGAAGCAATAGCAGGAGGCTCACCATGAGTACTTTGAAAAAAAAATCCCAACTGAAATCACCTCCAGCTGTTCAAAGGTGAAACAAGCCAGCAAGATTTCTTACAAAAACAGACGCCAACTGAAACAGAAAATTATTATGAGGTGATTTAAAATTAAAAAAAAAAATAATACCTGAGAACCACACCAATAAAAATAACCACAGTCACAGCCAATTTACACTTTCTCCTTCACACTCCTGGCCTGTCCACAGAGCCCAACAGAGTTACTTTGCTCTCTTTCATCTTTAAAATGCTGCCATATCACACTAATGGCTTGCAGAGGCAGGAGTAAGGCTTTGCAGAATAGAGCCCATGAACATTTGTACCTGAAGCTGCAAAATAGTGTTTACAGAGGAGATGGGATTGGGTTTAACTGTGCAGCTAAGGCGCATATCACCAGCTCCAGTCACTATCTCAGGGTATCGTGACAGAAGGAGGCGAAAGTCAGCCTGGTACCACAAGAAGATGGAGCAAGGAATCATCATCCATCCCACTAAGGGACAGAGGAAACCTTCAGGCCCTCATCCTGCTCATGTCGTTTCTACCACAAGCCTTAGCCAAACCCTTTTCTGAGACTCAATAAATTGTGAGAAGCAGAGGAGTGGATTTTAGCTCTCTTGGATAAGGGCAATCTGCTAGAAAAACAAACACCTTGGTTTGAGTTACGCAGATGGTTAACCAACTTAGGAAGCTATTTGCAAAGCCAAAATAAATGATTCAGACCAGAACACAAACGCTCGTGCAACCTTTTGCCCTGGTTTAACTAAATTGGTTCAAGAGTTGCATCCAAATTTAACATTATTATTTCCCACATGGAAGAGACATTTGGGCAACAGATGGGACTGAGGATTGAGGAAACACTCAACGGCGCAATGAGATACTCACAGAGCTCGGCTCTGTCTTTTGCCAGCCCTTGTAGGGTAGGGTACTTTGCAGGCAGGGTACTGGTCACATCCTGCTTCCCTTGCAGAACCTTCATCCCACCTCTGCCATCTTCCTTGGTTTGACTACTGGGAGACATGTATTCACTTCCACCTGTCTGAGATCAAACATTTGGTTTAGTCCATATAGTCTTTAGAAACAGTTTTCTAACATAAGTTAATATAATTCACATATATATATGAAAATAAGTTTTTGTGGACTTAAAACAGTTTCATGCCCTTTTCCATCAGGGATTTGTGGTAGACACAGGTGCTGCCTGGCAGCACTACCTGATTTTTAGGCAGTAGCAGCTGAGGGATGAAGAGCCAAAAGAGAAGGGATTAAAAAGGGATCAAGGGCTCAAGTTTCAACTGTTACCCGAAGACAGGGAGGATAGAAGGAGAAGAAACCTTATAATAACTTAAAATTAATCTCAAGGATTACAATACCTTGAAAATTTTCTTCACTTCCAGTTTCTCTCTTTCATGACTTGGTTTCCCCTCTTTTTTATCCTCTATTGTAGCTCTTTCAGGACTGAAATTTTCAGAAATGAGAAAGATCTCAGAACATAGACACTTTAGCAAAGTCGTAAACACATTGGTTTATGACAGTGCCCAGGTAAGCAGCTCATTTTCCCTCTGAATGAGGTAGGTGCCCAAAAGACCACCAGTACTAAAAGGGCAAATCCAAATCTAAGTCAGCAGATAGTCAGGGATAATAGCAATCATTCTTGGAAGGGAAATAAAGTAATGAGATTGTTTCCTCATAGCAGGAATGGACAAGTTAGATCCATTTGCCGGTGGTGGCATCTGGTTCACAAGATGTACCTCTTACCATAGATTTAGGGAAGAAGATACAGCAACAGTATGCAGAACTTGATACCTTTTTTTCCCCCAGCATCAAATTTTCCCACTGTAGAGACTCCCTTTTATCTCGTGACTCTAAAATCCCCATTAAAAAAAACCCAAACAAACAAACAACAAAATCCAGCCTCCAGACAGTGACAATAATTATACTCTGCAAGGAGTTTGAAGAATGACATTCACAGAGTGAAATTAAGTGTAGACCTTGCTTTACCCACACAGCCTTAGACCTGGAATGAGGCATCCCAGATTGAGAGCCTCATAACTCTCCTGCTTATGCTGAAAGACTTCAGGTTACAGTAGGAAAAGACTATGTATCTTCTTGTGTCCCAGAGGAGAAAAGAAAATCTCCCCTCCAGATATGCTTAGAAACCATGAGTGCTGCCACAGAAAAGCATCATTGTCTATGCTGTCCTGGTCATGAAATATATGAAATTTCTTTCTATTTACTGATTGTTACAATATCCCATTCCTAACCTGAGTTAGTTGTGGGGCTAGAAGAAGATTGAGAGAATGGAAAGGAAATTACCTGTATTTGGCAAAGGGAAAAATCTTCTGTTTCTAGAATAAAGAAGAGGAAAGCCTTCAGCCACTGTGCTTTTCTCAGCAGTCAAGCTTTTATACAAGGCCTCAACTGTCATCTAGTATTTAAAGAAATATTTCTTTAGAAAGCCCAGAAGCATTTTACATTTGGAATAGTCATCAGTCAAAGATATTTCCTCTACTTTGCAGGACAGGGGACACACATATTGACAAACTATATGGGGATAATATAACAGTGCAAGGGATGGGGCCAGTGAAGCTACTGGTCAGCATGAAAGCTATTACAGACTGGAGAGCTTACAGAAGAGGAGCAAGTTTTTTTACTTAAATAAAGATTTCCCAGCCTACCATAAAATGAGACCAAAGCCAAGCCAGAGAACTTCCCTGCAAATCACACACAGATAAGTGCATTTGGAAACCTGTGCTGTATTCCAGGCAATTTGATTGCTTTGCAAGTCAGGATTTGACAGTGGAGTTTGACACTTTCCAAAGTTTTCTCTCTTTTAGCAGGGCCAGAACTGATACCCAGTTCTGATACCCACATGGTCATCTCCTGGCAAGAGGTGATGTGTTCTCTCGGCCCAGCTACCCGCTATGAGCTCGTCCATGCAGCCAAGCCAGTCTGCTCTAGGAATAGCTGCAGCAACTCCTGCCCCGTGCAATGCACAATCCTGCCTTCCCTGCAGGATATCACCACTGCCAAGGTGCACTGCCACCCCTTTGCAGCCAAGGTAAAATGAAAAGTTGTAGTTTGCAGCAAAGATATCCCTGCAGCAGGAAATGAAAACAGTTGTGTACAGTTGTGCCCACAACACTTGCCCTCGTTTCTAAGCCAAAATTCTAAGCCTTCAGCCATGCCAAGCAAGCAGGCTCAATTTTGCTTTTACACCTGTACAGAGGGACTACCAGCACCAGCTCGTCTTTGGCAGGAACTTCCAGAATAATTCAGTGGGTTTTCCCTCCAAGAATTCATGATCTTACTATTAGTGTGTGACACTTGGTCTACCACCAACATCCAGATGGTGTTACCACTTCCTTACATATATGCAGTGGAATTGAAAGGAACTGACTCTTCCCACTAGTATGTTTGGGAATCTCATTAGTCTTTGTGTCCCCTCTGCAATTTCTTATTTATTTTTTGAGAGTCTTCACAGGCAACACACAAAGAAACTCTTGGCATGTAAGAAATACAGATATTGAAAATTTTCAAGACAGGAAAGTATGGTGCAGTCAAGACTGTGAGATCAAAACTGGCTGTGATAACACTTACCTTGTGCTCCTGAGGCTCTGCCTTAGGTACTGGAAAAGATATTTACGAACATATATTACTTTTTAGTCTGCGTTAAAGTCACTGCACTTTTAGTTGCAAAACTCAGCTTCAGTTGGGATGCTCAGCATCCAGGCACACATGCACCATGGGATATTCACCATGTCCTACTGGCCAGGGTCCTATTTGCTATTAAGCATTTGCTTGCATGCAGAGAACTGCAGCACCAAGCTTGATTGGCCACAGTTTTCATATGAAAGCCCAAGAGGGCTGTGGCAGGATCCCCCAAGGAAATTGGCTCCTGTTCCAACAGGAGAGAAAAACAATGAGCATGGCAGAAACCAAACTCCCAAAAAGAAGCAACCTTGAAAAATGTAAAAGCAGAGCAGTGGCCCCTTTGATGGAGAAAATTATACTGGGAAAAAACATTGACGGAGATGGAAAAGTTCTGTTCTGTGCCCTTCTGTTCCCAAGAAGATGACGAGGTTTGCCTCACTATCTTCTTTTCCTTCTCTTCTACATGTGTAGTATATCATGATTTTCCCTGCTGCTGTTTTACATTATTTCACTACCAAAATACTATTTCACTACATTATTTCACTACCAAAATACTAACTTCCGTCTTGTCTGGGCCCCAGAGTCCTCACACACTGTCAGTGCACAGAGTGACAGTACAGAGAGTTATCCTTGGTCACCTGGAACAATGTGCAGCTGCTTTTCTCAACGTGAAGAAACTCTATTATTTCCTTTTTAAATCCCTTATCCCAGATAGCATGTGATTCACCTAACAGTTTTACCTTGTAAAGTACCTTCAATGACACACAAGGTTGTGGTGTCCCCAGACTGATTCAGGTACATTGGTGTTTCTTCATAATTATTCTGCTCTTCAAGTTGAGCACTGAGAAGATGAAAAAGAGAGAAGAGATTTTTTTTTTCTGTCCCTTTTAAAAGCATGAAAAAAAATATTCCTCTTAAGGACAAGGAATTCAAGTGCTTTGATACTCAGCCTACAAAAAAGCAAAGTGAAATCAGGAATTCCTCGGAGGGAGAGGAGAGCCCTGTGCCAGATGTAGGGCTCAGCTGAACCTTACCCCCAACTCCACACTCCCACTGTTTTTCCTCTGGGAGGACAGGCTGCGTTTATAGGGCTCAAAGCACATCAGGAGACGTCATACTAGGATTATAGTCTTCTGCCTACAGCAATCCCTCAAGTAGAAACAGAACAAAAAAATCCAAGGAAATTGGAGCACAGCATTTTTTTAAGCCTACTCAGGTACTTTGAAATAGGTAACAACTTAGTTGCACTGTTCTGCACGCTGCTTCACATGGAAGGAAACACAAAGGGGAAAGCAGAGATATCAGAGGGTATGTTTAAAGGTCCTGCTTCTGAGTTTATCAAGCCAATCACTCCATGCCAACACAGCAAGTGGCACGTGCCAGCCACAGGAGGAGACAAGGCATCACGGCTCCAGCACCACAAAGCCTCAAGTATTGGGTTTCCCAGTCCAGTTCCCACCCCCTCATTCTCCTTTTCTTCCTTTCTTCCTCCAGAAATTCACATCAGTGTCATTTGGGAATAGCTGCAGAGAGAAAGCCAAGCATTCCTGAACTACCCACGCAAATCCCCAAGTCTTCCCATCTACCTACAGTGGCAGAGTTTTTGGCATCTCAGGAATGTACCAGGAAGCAGCAAATGCACAAGATACAGCTTGTAACGCACCTGGGTAACAGGGTATGGTGAGATAAGAGCACCAGGAAGAATTCTAGCAAGAACTTCCTTCTTTTAACTGAAAGACTATATAAAAAACCTCAGGGAGCGTTAAGCTTTCCTGGAATCACCCAACTGTCACAACTCAGAGTAAGGACTAAGTGTAAACCAGAACCTGAGGAAAAAGGCATGCAAGGTGCACTTTAACAGTAGTGAAATTGGAGCAAGAAACAACACCTAAAGTCAAGCAGAAGGTTGTGCTGATACCAAAGGCTGCCTCAGCCCCCTGCTCTCCCCTGCAGCCCGGGGACAGTGCCTGCCATCTTTCTGGTTCCACAGCATGTTTGGGACATGTAGGTCCCACTGAATGGGACACACACACATACATATTGCATCAATACTGCAAGCAGGTATTTTGTCCCCAGTGCCATCATTTGATGAAGAGGAGACCAGGAAAACCTCTGACCGTTCACTTCCCCAGCCCAATCCCTGGAATAAACCACATCCTGGTTTGGGAGGTTGGCTGGACATCAGACAGCCCTTTATATAAACCACAGTGCCACGCCAGACTTGAAATACAGCTGGGCTGAAAGACCCCTGAATAGCATCAGTGAAGGCAGAGTGTTTATCCCCAAATAAGCAGTAAGAGGTCAAGATTAGTCAGCCCAAGTTACTATGTCAGGGTGTCTAAGAGACCAGACTTCATTCCAGGTGAGGCTTCGATGAGGGGAATTTCCATCCCCAAACCGCTGTGATTTTGCTTTAATGCTGGAGTTATTTAATTCATTTCCCCAGTTATCATATGGTTAATATTTAACAAGTGACCTGTTGTAAAGACCATATCACAAGTGTTGGAGCAAGAACGCTAATTTTGCTGCAATGCATTACTAGAACAGCTTCCTTGTGGGGCATGACAGCTGTGGAGCTGGTTCCTATTCGACCAGTTCTCTTCTGACAAGTACAGGTTAAAAGCTAACACCAGCCAATGCTGGCAGGAACACCTCATGATGTCAAGAACAACTTGCTGTGTTGATAGCTGCAGGAGTTGTTTGGACACAGAAAGCATTTTAAGAATTCCCCTCCCTTTGCTCTGGTTCAGCTGTTCCATTTCCCTTTTTCACAGCCAAGACTAAACATGTATATGAATATTTTCCTCCACTTTTCCTGTTCTTGTTGCACAAAACCAGGACCACTACACAACAACTCAGGACAAGTCACAGACATATCAGAAAAAGTCAGGATCCCCATGCACACAGAAGTTGTGTCTGTAAGATTTTTGAGCCATTTCAGACAAACTCCAGTGATTTGGACCACCACTCAATAAAAATCTCACTTCAGCATCTGGAGACAGCTGAAGAGCTGGGCATGGTGAGGGAGGGCAGTGACTCCTGTACCCTGGTTGTGCTGACTGCACAAACATAGGACCATAAATCATGCAGGAGAGCAAACTCCTTCACTGCTGGCAAAGAAAATCCAGACACCTGCTGGTTACACCAGGGCTTTGTTTCAGCAACAGTTCTCAAAAGCATCTCTTTTCTAAAAACACCGAACTTGAGTACATGGAAAACAGGAAGCAAAAAACATGTGGGAGTTGATGACTTTGCAACCAAAGCACTGGCAGTGTTTTCCTTTCTGCTAGCTAAACCGGACCTAAAGACACATAGATATGGTTCTCCACGTGGCTTTAACAGCCCAGAGGAAAAAATAGGGATGAAGCTTTTTCCTTTAGGAGAAGGTCATCCCAGCCAGCTTTGAGTTTCCCATGTAGGTCCTGTTATTCTATGTTTCTATAACCACAGAAACACAGAATCACAGAATGGTTTGGATTGGAAGATCTAGTTAAAGATCTGAAGACTATCTAGTTCCAATCCTACCCCCCATAAGCAGGAACACCTTCCACTAGACCAGGATGCTCAGGGCCCCATCCAACCTGGCCTTGAACACTTGAACAATCCCTGGAGCAAGTTGCTGCCTCTGGGAGTCAGACATTCTCTCCAGACTGAACTGGGATGCTTCAGATCATGGGATGGGGATGCTCCTGTCACCTACAAGCCACACATTGCCTCCCCACAGGCTCACCTTTCGGGGCTCAAGTAATCCTCTTCACCAGCAGCTGCACACAAACACACAGAGGATTAGTATTTGAAGGCAATCCTGCTCTCCCACAGAACACCAGCTGCAGCCACGGGAGGTGTGACAGGGACTGCCCTTCCTCAGGCAGCACGCTGCACGCAAAGGCAGGCGTGAAATAAGATTGCCAGCAGAAACTGGGGATGTGGCTGTGTTAATGTCATTATTTCATGTTTCCAGGCAACAACCCCAAGCTTTCTAGAGATCGATATCAGAGCAATATGGAGAGGGCATGGAGATGATGACACATAAATGCAACTAGTTCCCTCCATCAAACTCATATATTTAGAAATGGCAAATAGGTTAGAAAAGAGTTTCAGTGAAAAACTTTCTTTCCCTCTTATTCTTATCACAGCCAGGGCACACCAATAAGTGCTGGCACATTAAAGCCAAAGAGACTTTAGCAGAGCCCTTCTTATGAAAGGAGCTCCCTTGGAATTCAGCAAAAGTTGTGTCTAAAAATCTGGGTATAATTAAGCCTGTATCTATAAAGAAACACCACTTAGCAGCTTAATAAGTGGTCCAAAATATTCTATTATACAACATCAATAGGGTTTTATTATGGGAAACTGAACTTTCGCATTTCTTGATGTTGGAACACTTCGCAACATTGCCCTCTGTTGTATTTAAAACAGAAGTGGGGGGGATTAGCAGACTATTTTCTAACAATTTTATTGTGCCTTCCCACAGTTGTGCTCCAGAGTCAAGGCATTTCCCATTGAAGAGGAGTGATAAAGATCAGCTCAGCTCGTAGGCAGCTGCTGCTGCTTTACAGCCAGCTGTAAACCACTCACAACACGCTGCACTTGGGAGAGAAGCGGGTTTCTGCATGTGGGATGGCATCCAGCCTGGAAAATCAGATCCCTTTTCCAGATTAAGAGCAAAAATCAGTCCCACTGAAACTGCTGGTCTATTGTTAATGTTCGAGGAAGAAGTTATAAACAAGTAACAATGTCTTTTTTCTGTGGGCTTGGAATCATGGCCTAATAGATGTCAATAAACTGCAAATTATTATTCATTTTCTACAGAACATGTCTGGAGAGAAAGACCAAAGATCTCTTACTTGTTTCATTTCCTCTGTGGACCAAAGGCAGGATGCTTTGGAAAGTACTGAGGTCAAACTTTGGCGGTCTTGGAGGCTTCCCAGGGGCAGGACCCAGGGATTCAGCTGAAGGCAGAGGTTTAATTCTTGGCCACTTGTTCCTGGGGCTGTAAGACCGTTTTCCTGCTCTGGGCTGGCAGAAGGGAGGCTCCAATTCTGCTCCAGAGAAGCACAAGGACAGGCACCAATTAGCCCTCATTTAAGCAAAAATCCACATAGAATCATTAGTTGTTGTACTCACATTTCTAACCAACTTTGTTTCTTCCCAATTTCAGCATCCTCATTACACAGCAGGTCTCTTACCATGTTACCAGAATGGCAAAGTAAATAGAAATGTCCATTTTTACAGATTTTTACAAAGTGAACCATGTTGGGGTCTCAGCTCTCGACAGCTCCCTTCCTCTTGATTATAAAATACTAGCCCAGTTTTCTGTACTGATAACAGCTTAATCCACCAGGATTTAGTGGCGTGGCTGTTTTCAGCGTTCAGTCCAAGCAAGGTGGCTTTCCAGGGTAAACAAAGACTTAAGCTTTTCAGTGCCCTGTCATCCAGTGTGACGTTAGCAAGGGCACCTTTGCAGCATTTGAGTTTCCTAGCACCAGTTTCTCTAAGAAATATGTTCTCTGAGCTTAAATATGACCTTTTGCACAGCTGGGAGGGTGCAGAGGGGGGACATTCAGGTTTAAGTGATTTTAATTAGAATTAAACTGTCTTTGCAGATGAGCCAAGCCTTTCTGTGTCTGTGTGAAACGGAAGAGCAGGGTCCAGTCACATTTACCTTGTGACTGGAAAAGGCCAAAGCAGACCAAAACTGAAGATACTCCCCTGTCCTCAGTCTTCATCCTATTCTCATAATGTGGACAATTTCCTTAAGTGAGTTTTAAAAAAATTGGTGGAGATGGAGACCCTCCCCTTACCAAGCTCAGTAGCAGTTTGGGACCCATATCTTATCTCCAGAACCTCCAGAGAAAGAAAAAAACATTCCAATGGACCAGTTTGGCCTCTTGTTTGAAGGTCCTGAGTTTTAACAGCTTTTCTCTCCAGCTGCTCTACCCTGTACTTCCAGAACACATATGCATATAATGGCCTGGGTCAGAAGGGACCTTAAAGATCATCTCATTCCAACCCCCTGCCACGGGCAGGGACACCTTCCACTAGACCAGGTTGCTCAGAGCTCCATCCATCCTGGCCTTGGACACTTCCAGGGATGGGGCAGCCACAGCTTCTGTGTCACCTGTGCCAGGGCCTCACCACCGTCACAGGGAAAAACTCCTTCCTAATATTTAATCTAAACCTACTCTTTTTCAGTTTGAAGTCATTCCCCCTTGTCCTGTTGCTACATGCCTTTGTAAATAGTCTCTCTCTATATATATGCTCAGTGTTAAGAATATACCTTACTGTACCTTTCTGGTGCTGAGGTTTCTCTCTTGGTGGACGATAACCTGCCTGGCAGAATGCAGTTGCCACCGCACCCTCAGCACCTGTCCCATCAGAGCTCCTGTGTCCTCTGAGAGCCTGGGGAAGAGCTGTCCCACTGCCATGCAGAGCATCCTTCTTCTTGGCACGCCAGTCCAGCACAGCCTTGTTTCCAGAGGATCGCATCCTGTCGCTGTCCCATGCAACAGGAGCACATGTCACCCTCTGCTCCGGACAAGGGTGCATGTCTAAGTTTGCTGCCTGTTGCATTGGGAGTATTGCACTTGCTTTCTCATTGCAGCACAAAGTCTCTTCCCAGATCTGTAGGATGTGGTGGAAAGAATCTGGGAGCTGAGGATCCACTGGAGCTGTTTGGCCTGATCCTTGCTGATCAGTGCTACATGACAACAGAGGCTTTTCTGAACTGTCCTGGGGAGAACTCAGCCCTTTCCCTGAGATGTTGCCCTCGTGCTCTTTGTTGTCCCCCATTGGCTCCACGTAACCCAACTTGGCTCGAGGCCATGCTAAGGGGCCATGTTGGGTGAGCACAGAGGGCTGGGAGGCAGTATGGGCAGGTTTTATTATTTTCACACCTCTCTTACTCAGGGGCAGAGGGTTGGACACAGCATTTCCTCCAGAGCCCAGCTTGGACGTGATCTCAGTGGAAGGCTTCTTGAGTGGCTGCGCCAGCTTGTTAACCAAGTCAGAGTCATTTTGAAATTTTGCTCGGAGGGCTTTGAAATCAGTCACACCTTCCTGGGTGAGAGGAAAGAGGAGAACACAAAATATCTGCTTACAGAGCTGGCAACAGGCAATTTATACAATCATGATGGTTTCAGACAGAAATAGGCTGCAGACTCCACCCTGGTCACCAAGGATGTGCCAATCCTGGCAAAAATTTAAAAGCAGTAGAGGAGTATTAGCTCTTTCAATGGATCCTCCAAAGGCTCACAAATCACTTCTTATTAAGGCAAAAGAGCTGAGACAGGAGGAAAACACAGGAGTAGAGCAGAGAAACACAACCAGAGCCAGCAGGACCAGGAGAGATGCCTGCTTCTCCCCAGTGTCAGCCAGTGATGGAGAATGTCCCTCAGGAGGATCTGGCAACCACTAAATTTAATGTTTAGCTTCCTGGCAGAGGTGCTGCTATACTGTTTATGCACCTGCTGAGTAGGAAAGCTCCACTTTATTTTTAGTACACAAACACAAAATGGGAGTGGCCATTAGCTTCTCCAGAGATCCCCATTCCATCCACTGCCTTCTTTAGAAAACTCCACCATGGAAAGAGAGGCAGCAAACATCCTCCTTGGCAGGCTCCAAATGACCGCTGGGACAAAATGTTCTTCCTCCCCAGTGCTAGTTCAACTCAGGTCCCCAAGGCTCTTTGGATGCTTCTCCCCTTGTCTTTATTCCCATCCAGGAAGCAGAGGACATACCACCCAACCAGTAGTACACAATGACAGCAAAAGCATCTCTCAGTGCAGGTGATGAATACTGGCTACAATATTCAATTCCTCTCCCACACCAGACCCCAGGTAATATATGATTTTGAAGAGAGCTAATCAGTGACAGTGCAGTTCAAAAGAACACTTGAAGAACATTTTGCTTCAGGCCTTCATTCCCTGGTGTCTCACCATCCCATGCCAGAGAAAGAGGAACATAATTTTTGCCTGCGGTGTTGTGGCTTAAATTCAGCCCTGAACTGAACTAGGGAGAAAATATGAAGAAAAATTTATGAGCTACTTAAGTCCTTGAACTGCTCTATAACTTTTTATATGCCATGATTACATTAGGTGCACTGCTCTGGCAGCTTAGTTCAGTGCAGAGAACTGTAAGGCTTCACGAGAACCTGTCTAATGAGGAAATTGGAAAAAATTATCTAGGACAGAACTTCGTTATTCTGAAAAAAGCCCCAGCCTTAAGTGTTAAGACAGAACAGATGAATAGCATACTGAGGTTTTATTGCATTTAATTGCACGATTTATTAAACACTGACAATTTCTCTTGAATAACCCCTTTCACTGACTTTATTACTTTCACAGGGTAGTGCATGATGTAAAGAACCAACCCTTGGGGGAGAGGTTTGAATTGCTCCAATTATATTTCATATTAGTGGTCAGCATCTTGATGCTGTGTGAGCTGCCCAGACAGGCTAATCTAGGGGCGAGCCGATGGGAATGGGAGCCTTCAGAAGCATACGGAGGATGAATCAGATTTTGGAAAAAAAATAGTCCCACATGTACCTGATCCCTCCAGTGATGCCAGACAGGAAATAAAGCAGCTAGGTGCCCTAAATGCAATTGCACCAAGCTTTTGCACGTGCTGCAGCAACAGTTGAAGAGTTCAATGCTGTTTACCTCCCCACACTGATTTTCTTTACTGTAGCACGCAGTTCCTCATCAGCACCCTCAGAGACAAAGAGAAGAGGAAAGAAAAAGTACCTACATGTCTCAATGTGCCCTAGGCAAGGTGGACTCATGAGACATGGGGTTTTTGGTCAGGCACTGTCTGTGACAGTCATGAGCTTGGCACTAAGTTTAATTAAAGAGGGATGGATACAAGCTTCCCTTTTCCTCCCTCAAGTTTTTGTTCCTCTTGCCTTGAAATGACAGCTTCAAATGATTGGCCTAATTAAGTGGAAGATTATCTGTGCTTAATGTACTCTCAGTGCCCCTCACTGGAATACAGTTTCACCAAACCGCAGCCTGTTGGGATGTTCACAGGATAGGGTTAAACTGTACACCATGGCCACCTCCTGCACACCCACATCCAGCTGGACAATCCATCCCTCCCCAGAAAGCTCCTGCAAATGCTGTTTCCTTGCACAGGGCTGAGCTTAGCCAGACCCTCCAAGGTGCAATGAGTTCTCCCGGTCTCTGTAGGGATGATTTTCCATCAGAGCTGGGACTGTTTCAAACCACAAACCCATCTAAGCAACTCTCCACTTCAACCCACACACCTTAACCTGGCCCAGGGAGATGCTCAGCTTAAACATAGTGCTGAGTAGGTCACAGGCAGGACACGTGAAATCCCAGTCCTGGTGTCCCATCAGCGCAGGGAGGGCTCAGGTCCCCTGAAAATCAGATCAGTTGAAAGTGAGGAGAATACACTAATAAATTTAAAGGGCTGCCAACTGCTTACAATGTGTATTTTAGCTACATCTGGCCAAATAATTGACTGTGAATAATACTACATTTGGCAAAAGCCCACGCAAGATGAGAGGGGGAGAGAGTAAAAAGGAAACAAACTTCCACTGGCCGGAAAGCATTAAGGAGTCAGGGGACAGGAGCATTACAGAGTCAGGGGGCAGATAAACTTCCCATATTTTCTGCCTGAAAAATAAAATGCTCTTCTAACATTAAGATCAGTCTAGGAAGCAAAATAAAGCTCAGCTTAAGCCTATGATAAGGGTACCTTTTAGAAGGAGCAGCAGCAGGAGGTTTGTGCTGACATCAAGGTCTAACCAAAAGGAATCTGAATTACAGAATCACAGAACGGTTTGGATTGGAAGGGATCTTAGAGATCAGCTTGTTCCAATCCCCTGCCATGGGCAGGGACACCTTCTACTAGACCAGGTTGCTCCAAGCCCTATCCAACCTGGCCTTGAACACTTCTAGGGATAGAGCATCCACAGCTTCTCTGGGCAACCTGTGCCACGGCATCACCACAGTCACAGTGAATAATTTCTCTCTTAATATCTAATCTTACCCTGCCCTCTGTCAGTTTGAAGCCATTCCTCCTTGACCTGCCGCTCCAGGTCCTTGACAAAAGTTTCTCTCTAGCTCCCTTGTAGCCCCTTCAGGTACTGAAAGGGTGTAATAAGGTCACCCCAGAGCTATTCTCCATTAACTAACTAAATAGAATTAATTCTCCTTAGTTTTCTGAAGCCACTTTTCTAAAACAAATCGACACAGGAAGAGAAACCCCATTAAGGACGCGGCACACAGGATAGCCAAGAGAAACCAAGAGCCTGTTCCCCTCCTAGAATTCTTCTGGTTTACTCAATTCTTTATCTTGATTAGCAAGGGAGCTCCGGTGGGTAAATGTTTAATCAGCACTGCCCTCTGCCCTGCCGTGGGACTGCTGGAGTCAAGCCCAGGCACCCTGGGCACGCTGACGAGAGCACGCTGCAGATACCATCGACTCATTAACCAGCCGGCTTCTCCCAGGAAAAAAAGAATAAAAAATCCAACTCTACTTTTTATTAAATTAAGAGGCACAACTGCAGCTCATCTCAGAGCGAAGGGCAATGAAAGGTGCACTGGGAGCCCCTCAGCCCCTGCTTTGGGGCAGAAAAGCAGTGTCTGTGTGGTCTCTGCCCGGAGCAGGAGCAGCGATGAGAGTGTGCACCTCACTCCCGGAATGAACTGCTCCTGGCATTCCATGGAGAGAACAGCCCCAAGCTACGAAGCAGCAGCAGAAAACCAAGCAGCAAATCTTTCACCCAGGCCAGGTGCAGAGGAGACAGAACCCATTGCTGCAGTGAGGGTAGAAAGGGGAGCCCCAGTAGTTACCACGTCCATCCCTTGCTGCTCCAGCATGTTCCCTGCCCTGCCTCCAGCCGGAGTCTCCCACAGCTGCTCCCCGCTCTGCTGCCCGTCCTGCAGCCACGCCAGGTGAGGCGGGGCAAGCCCTAAACACACCTAGGCCAAGCCTGGGTCTGCCCCCGGGGCGGGGAGAGCCTCACCTGGGCAGGGCTGAGCCTGCCCAGCAGTCCCTGACCTGACCCGTGGTTCCCTGAACAACAAATGCCCACGCTGTGGCAGGTTTGGGATGGGTTCAGAATGGGAATGATCAGCTTTGGTTTGCTTTGTGAGGGAAAGAACGGCACTTGGCATCAGCATGGGTGCCCCTACAGCACATATGTGTCCACATGATGTGCATATATATGGCAGCTTATAGAATCTTAGAATGGTTTAAGAAGGGACCTTAAAGGTCACCTAGTTCCAACCCCCCCCACACGTTCTCAGGTGTCTTCTCACACCTGGAGCAAGCAAAACTGAGCCCCACCATGCCCAGCAGTAATTCTTACCCCACCTCCTCTTAGGTGTCCCCATGGGTGACACCCACCCTTCTGCAGCAGCCCAGCCTGCACCAGGCTCTTCCCCACAGAGAAGCCAGAGTGATTAAAACAGACATTTCCCCAGAGGAACCAAATGTTTCCTTCATCTCTGGATAGCAGAGTCCAGCAAAAACAATCATCCTTGCTGAAGCCCACACATATTTCCTGGTGAAGCACCCTTTCCATGGTGAGCTGTCTCTCAAAGTCCTAAGGACAGACCAGCTAAATTAGGGCAAACAAGACTTTTCCTATCACTGGATATTTCTGCCCTGGAGAACACACTGAAAGGAT